GCCCCCCCGGGACCCGGGCCGCCTGCTCCCCGCCGCCTCCAGGTCCACATCGGTCTGCGACGGAGCTGCGGGCAGGGGGACAGCCCCATTAGCTGGCCCATGGCCACCCCGTGTGTCCCCTGCCTGTCACCCCCATCCCAGACCCCATTGGGGAATGCTGGATGTGTCCCTTGCCTCTGTCACCCCCATCCCTGTCCCCATTATGGGTGGCTGGACCTGTTCCCCCATCTGCTGTCCCCATCCCAGACCCCACTGGGTTTGCTGGATGTGTCCTTCATCCTTCATTCCCATCCCAGACCCAGCTGGGGTGGCTGGACACATTTCACCTCTGTCACTCACATCCCAGACCCCACTGGGGGTGCTAGACGTGGCTTCCCTTCTGTCACCCCTGTGCCAGACCTGGTTGGGCTGGCTAAATGGGTGTCCCCATCCCAGACCCCCTGGGGTTGCTGGACGTGTCCCCCACCTCTATCACCCACATTGCAGACCCGTTTGGGGCTGCCGGACATGTTCCCCCTCCATCATCCCCTTCCCTGGGTGCTGGGCACTGCCATGGGCATCGCCAGGGGCCGGGGCTCTGTCCCCGGTGCCCCCAAGCCTGGCAGCAGCTTTGCACGGGGCCACCACACACCAGGGCCACCACGATGCTGCCCATGGCATCCTGCTCCCGCGCGGTGCCAGCCCGTCCTCACCAGCCTGCGTCCCCCTGTGTCCCCTGTCACCGCGACGCCCGGCACCGTCCCCAGCCCCTGCCTACCTGCGTCCCCCCCGTGCGCTCCCCGCCGCCCCCGCGCGCTACCGCCCTATAAACCCGCGCGGGGCCAGGCCCCCCGCCCCGCGTGCCCCGTAAATGCCAGAGCACTTTGCCTTTGCTGACTGTAAACACGGGCGCGCGGCTGCCGGGCCGCCCCGGCAGAACGGTGCCAAGGGGACAAATGGCCCCGGCCACAGGACACTCGGGGACTGGTGTGTCCCCTGGGTGCGCAGGCTTTGCTGGTGCCCCCCGTCCCATGGATGGCCCCCAGGCTGTGCCCAAATAGCCACAGGGCTCCTCTGCAGAGCCAGGATGGTGCAGGGCCCCCCTGCAAACTGCCCCCCGAAACGGCGCCAGGGCCTCGTGCGCCACATCCCGACCGGACCCGGCCCGGAGCCGCCCGGTGCCGGCTGCCGCCCGCCCCCCTTTAGCCCC